CAACAAGGGAAATGATCTAGCTTGGTTATCTGTCTTTTTATATTTTTTAAAGTTTTACAATTATATTAGTGTTCCCTACGTGGATTATTTTGTTTTTATTTATATTCCTTCATTTTTTGCTCTGTGTTAATATTGTTTCTATTTTGGGTTTGCCTGTACTTGGCAGTTATATTTAATACTGTATATTTATAAGTTTAGTTAATCCGTTTGTGTAAGATTTTTAATTTTTATTTCACTATTATTGTATATATTATCAGTGTTTGCCTGTTATTGGCTTCTTGCTGTTGGCAAACACGTAAATAAATTAATTGAATTGAATTGAATTGAATAATAATAATACACAATGGTGCAATAATTCTGAATCGGTGTCTTAACATTTGCAAAAGTAGTTCAGACGATCCTCTTATTGGGCGATAAATCAAGGTACCTAATTATTTCCATCATTTTTAAATGTTAGGATGAAGTGAAACACTGCCAAGAATTAATTGCCCTTCAAGTCTTCAGAGGCAAGAGACCACTACAGTCAGACACCTAAATATGCTAATTAAATTAATGTGAGATTTGACATTCCCATAGCAGTGAAGATGTTGACTGGTCTTCTGGGTTAACACTACATGGTCATGGAGTTGGATGGTAGTTACCAACATTTCAGATGCCTCTATCACCTTGAATATGAAGGCAATATGTTCCTCCAAAACACTGTTGACCACCTAGAAGACCACAATCAGCTTACTGTACCTGTTCGCAATCCCTTCCAAACCATGATCATCCAAACTGCTGCACTCCGACAGGTTTAGATCCACTATGCATGCCATGGCAGGTCGATGGAGGAATGTGGACAAACCAGAAGCAGTCAAATTCTGACCTTTCTTGAGACGCAATGACCTAAGTTCCTGAAGTGGCCCGATCCCTTCCAGCAACCCTTTGTCTGTCATCTCTTCACAGAAGGACACTTCCAGTTGCTGAAGCCTGCATCACATCGGTAATATCAGCTACATTATCCAGACAAACAGCTGGCATGAAGTGACGATGCTCTATATTTTTTACTGTGGAGGTAGCCATTTTAAAATTCTGGCTGAGACATGTGGATATTCCCATGGACTTTTAATGTTTCCTCAGTATTTCCAGCCTAATACCTTCAAATAGGCCATAACTACTTCCTTCTAGATATTGTAGGTGCGTCATATTGTGATTTATTTAAATAGTATTAAAACCTTCTAGATGCTTACAAACTAAACATTACTAACCATATTCCCATCTTGTTCAATTCTACATAACCTATGCAGATGAAACAGCATGGTTAAATTATAAAAAATAATTATAACCCTTTCCATATTCAAGTATTATTTAGCAGGGATGGCAAACCTTTCCACTGCTTGACATCAAATTTACATCATCACTTCTGCTACACGTTTACAAATAGTTGGCTAGTCTGTTTTTTTTTCCTGAGTGCCATGAATGGTCTCCCTGTTTGTAAGACAGTTTTTTTAAATCTGGTTTTATGAATTTCTCGGATAAAATAACTCATAATAAGTGGCATAAGAAAATATAATTTGTAATCTTGTACAGTGGATGCAAAATATTCCTGAGCTTGAAATAATTAAAATCCACAAATTATTCGATTAACGAAGAAAATACAAAGATGCATATTTTTACAGACACCACAGATCAGAGTTCTGTGATTTTCTTAAGTCATCAAATTAATCAGCTGAGGAGGACAGTTAAGTCAATAAAGTGACTGCAGATCGACTCCTAGCAAGGGCATGATTTTCTCTGTGCTACTCAGCAGACCAGTTCTGTCACCCAACCAGCTTCATATGCACTGGGAACCAGAGTGTATTTTTCTGGGGGATAAAACAGTCAGGGTATGAAGCTAGCCACTAACCTCCACTACTGTGATTCAAAAGGTTAGAGCCAAACTGAAGGAGCGTA